TCTACAAAACCTTACACATGCCTAGATTTTAAGATATTGGATTGAAAGGGAACCTAGCCCATTTAGCCCAGTGGTAGTGTTACATAACATGACTGAGGGTATCCTCAATGTGAAAGACAGGCCTTTGTCTCCACTTGAACTGTACAGTGGTTAATCCTACCAATACAGTCTTGGAGAACTGCATCTATGATAGGTGGATTGGTGAGACTAACGGTGCTGATGAGCCATTTGGTGATGGTCACTGAAGGCTCCCATCCAGGGTATATTCTGAGCAGGTCTGGTTGTCAGTAAAACAAGACATACCCAAGCATTGAGAGGGGGTGATAATGTACTCGAGCCTTTACGACAGAGGAGGAGGCCATTCAGCTCATCTCGCTTACATTGAGAACAAAGATCTGACTACACAAATCCAATTTTAGCGCTTTTAACCCATATGCAAGTGAATATCTACACACCGCTCATCAGTTGTGAGATTGGTGAACTGCAAACAACTGTTTCAGGCTGTGAATTTCAGACTCCCGCAACTCAGTGGGAAAAAAATTCAATTCTCCTCTTAGCCTTCTAGCCTCGTCAACTGCGTTACCTCATTTCTCTGGGTTGAAATCCATTAAAAGGCTTAATCATACCCCCTACTTTGGAGTCTAAATCATTAAATGTACACTACAAACATCAAGGAGCCCAACATTGAGCCCTATGGAAGTCCAATTGAAACAATCACAAACATCACTCTATCACCTGCTGTTTCCTGCCTCTCAGCCAATTTTGGATCCAACAATACACTTTACCTTGCATTCCATGGGCTCTTACTTACTGGACCAGTCTGCCATGAGGGATCTTATCAAAAGCCTTGCTAAAGTCCATGTAGACCACATTAAATGTCTGGGACATTTCTGTAAAGTATGATTCAATGACTTTCACTATGTCAGGTCGTTGCTTGACTAGCTTGTGGAACAGTTTATGCAAATTTGGCATCAACCTCTCAACAGTGTTAAAGACAACTTGCAGGGTTAATGGGATTGGGTTTGAGATTGTCATTTCCAGTGCCCAGTACAATGCTAGGTAGTCTGTCTGGTTTCAGTTCTTTTCTTTTTAAAAGGACTTGGACTCTGATACAACTGAAAAGCTTACTCGGCCAGAGTTTTTCAGAATTAAAACACAGTGCTACAGGGCTAGAGTCGCAAGAACATAAATGAACCAGAGATAGTAGGAACTGCAGATGCTGGAGAATCCGAGACAACAAGGTGCAGGGCTGGATGAACACAGCAGGCCAAGCAGCATCATAGGAGCAGAGAGGCTGACGTTTCGGGCCTAGACCCTTCATCAGAAAAGGGGGAGGGGAAGGGGGTTCTGAAATAAATAGGGAGAGGGATAGAGGAGAGGATAGGTGGAGAGGAAACAAACAGGTCGAAGAGGCGGGGATGGAGCCAGTAAAGGTGAGTGTAGGTGGGGAGTTAGGAAGGGGATAGGTCAGTCCAGGGAGGACGGACAGGTCAAGGGGGCGGGATGAGGTTGGTCGGTAGGAGATGGAAGTGCGGCTTGAGGTGGGAGGAGGGGATAGGTGGGAGGAAGAACAGGTTAGGGAGGCGGGGACGAGGTGGACTGGTTTTGGGATGCGGTAGGGGGAGGGGAGATTTTGAAACTTGTGAAATCCACATTGATACCATTGGGCTGCAGGGCTCCCAAGCGGAATACGAGTTGCTGTTCCTGCAACCTTCGGGTGGCATCGTTGTGGCACTGCAGGAGGCCCAGGATGGACATGTCATCTGAGGAATGGGAGGGGGAGTTGAAATGAACCAGATTTGTTTTAGTGGCAATGGTCATCATTAAGATTATCTTTTACTTCCAGATTTAATAACTGAATTAAAATTGTACCATTATGAGTCAGAATGGACCTCTGGATTACTAACCCCGTGGCATCATCACCACACCATCTGCCTTCCCTTGGCTAAAACCTTAAATTAATACATCCCTCATCCTTTTATCATTAACAGGAACAATATTGCTTCGCTTGCAACATATGAACTTATCACAATCTCATAAACTTCTATCAAACTTCACCTGAATCATCTTTGCTCCAAGGAGAACCCCAACTTCAACCAAACCTTGAAACCAAGATCCCTCATCCTTGGAAGAATTCTGTTCAGTCTCCTCTGCACCCTCTCAAGGACCCATATGTGCATCCTAATGTACACTGATCTGAACTAAACACCCTACTCTAGTTGTGATCTAACCAGATCATTTTACAGATTCAATATAGCATATGCTTTTGTAATCGATATGCCCATTAACGGAATCTAAGAACCCACTGCCTTGGGCTAATCATTCTCCAAATATGTTCTGCTGCCTTCAGAGATCTATCAAAGACTCTCAGGTCTTGCTCTCCAGCTACAGTTCTTAGACACACCTTATTTAGTCTATATGACCTCTCCCTATTTCCTCTGCCAAAATCCACTGACCCACACCAACATGGCTCAAGTACTATTTGATAGGAGTTTTCCCACTGTGCTAGCCTAATGCTCTCCCGCATTCATCTGGTATCATTCACACTGTTAGCCACAGTTCTAAGTTGGGATCAGAAAATTCTGAATCTTCAAATTGGATTTCAGAATCCAAACAATAATTACCAGTGGGAAACACCAATACCTAACATCTTCCAGTCTGAAAATTAATTATTTATCCTGACTCACTGCTTTCTCTGTTTAAGTTGATTTTTAATCCAAGCTGACATTGACCCTTCTACTTCATGAGCTTAAATTTTGTTGACCAGCCTTTTGTGTATTTCAATGTATTACCATTTAGAAATTTACATTTTAATGTAGAGATAAAATGGATTTGCAGTTTCGGTTCTGTGACGGTAACTTTTTTTTGAATGTGGTTAGACAGTCTTTATAACAGTGAACTAACTATATAATTCCCAAGAAAGCACATACTCAAGTTAAATGCCTCAGATATTTGTGGAATTAACTGACAGAAGTGTTTACAGGGTTGATTTTTTATGACATATGGGAAAAATAGTAGGTTTTAATAGTATGATTTCAGTTCAGAATAGTCAATTCAGAAGAACAGTTTCATCCTAGGTTTGTGAAGTCTCCAAGCTGCGAAAACTTATATAGAAGTTTTCAAGCTGTCAGAACTCAAAAAGAGGGGTTCGGCTATCAAACTGAATAAGTCTCTAGGTTATTAAAACTAGAAAGAGTCACTTAAGAAAGAAATTAAACAAGACAGAAATGACACTTCACAGGAATGTGCATCTGCAAAGGATATTGCTTGGAAGTGTTGAGAAGATCTTCTTTTTCAAACACTACAAAGTCAACGCTAATTAATACCATTGCCTGGTCTCCACTTCTTCTGAACACATCCACTCTTCACCGCTTTTAATCCAAATCTTGTATTGCCATTACATCATACCCTATACAGTTGTTTGCAGGTCACCAACCTGTTCATCATAATTTGTACATTTACGTATGTTTTATATATATTTTACATACATTTTATACTTTTCTTCACATCCCTCAGCACTTTTCAGACTGTTCCTACCTAAAGGAGGAATTATTTTTCCCTCTCTACTCAAGACTCAGTCTTTCATGCAACTTAATGTTCAATTTTACCTCTGAGGTTCTGACCTTTCCAACCAATTAACTTAAAAAAGCTATATCAGTGCACCACACCGAGCATATTGGTCCGATTTTTCCATTCCTTTTGATTAGGTGGCTTGTGCTTCAGAACTAGTCCCAACATCCCAAGAATGTGAAGTCTGCTCTCCTGCATCATACCTCAAACAACCCATTGACCCTCCCGACCTTCATACAGTGGGAGTGATCCAGAGATTAGCACTCTTGCATTATCCAAGCCTGCCGGCTTGCTCATTTAAATAGCTCCAATGCTACTGGCCTGTTTATATGCTCACTTCAGTCCATTCATATGAGCTGTTTCAAGTGCTTTTTGGAGAAGGGATGGGCAACAGAAAAGGGACAGACCTCAGGGAGAATTTGGCTAAGGAGGAGGATGTGCCAAGGAACAAAATAAGGATAGGAGCACTGAAGGGCAGAATGTGCACTGGAGGTGTGAAGAAATAAACAGAAGGAAGGAACTGAAGGGAAAAGAAATAAGAATTAAAACAGACAAAAAGAGAGATACAATTTAGGTACCACGCTTTATGAAATTGAGTCTAATTAAATCCAAACTCCGTGCCTTCAATTTAAATTGAATCTTTCCCCCTGCCCTTTCCACTTCTCTCCTTCCAGTGGGCTTCAGCATTCCTCTCCCAATGTTTATACCTCTATTCCCTACCATTTACTATTTGCTCTCCTCTATCTCTAACACAATATGCTAGAAATTCCCTATGCACATCAGATGATTACTCAGTACTGTCCTCCCTTTTCTTCCACACCTTCCAATGAATCAGAATCTAGCTTCCCTCCCCATAGTAAATAAACCACGTGTTCCCAATCTCCAGAACACCCTCAGAACGTCAGTTCTTCCCACACTACACTTTATAATCTAGTTCCTCTCCAAAACAGCCGCCCTCACCAAGCCCATCCCTTCCTCTACCATCACAGTTTCCACATTCCAATGCTCTCTAATCAGTTTCAGTAGTTTCTAAATAGCTAAATTTATCTACATTTGCCTTAAATTGAAAAATACCATCCATAGTAGCAACTAATCACCGCACTTCAAACTCCAGATCACCCATAAAAAAAAAATCAGAAATTTGCTAGCGTTAACTAAGTTCACAAACTTGAATTCTGCCCTCACTACTGTTTAGCTTATCACCTCTTTTCAGTTTCTTGCTGTTTAATGCTCTTAGGAAGCACCGCTACATGTTTTATGACCTTGAAGGCATAAAAGCTGATAATGTTTTAACTAACTGCACCCTGCTATTTAGATCCATTTTATAGTCTATTGTTTAAATAATGTGGCACATTTTTTAGGAGATTGCTTTGAAATGAATTGCAAACTTTTTAAAACTAGAGATGCATACTTAATTTTAAGTCACATACCTCCATGCTTCTCAATGTATCCATAGTTTCTACCTGTGGCAGTACTTTGATTGACTGGCCGCTCCACAATTTCCAGTTATCTACCTGTTCTCTAACTTTACAGTCACCTTTGATGAGAAGCAAGCAAGCTTCATCAACAGATTCATCAGATTCTTTTGAGCAGTCCTTGCCAGCTGTTGCACTGAGCAGCTGGAGTATCTGAGATTTTCGTTCTGCAAGCTCGAACGAAACAAAAATATTCAGGTCCTCCAGACCAGGGATTTGAACCTGAAAGGAAAAGAATGGCAAAGAAGTTACACTCTTATCAGCCACTTGAGTCAGAGACGTTCAGCAAAGAAACGGACCCTTCGGTCCAACTTGTCCATGCCGACCAGATATCCTAAATTAATCTAATCCCATTTGCCAACATTTGGCCCATATCCCTCTAAACCCTTCCTATTCATGTACCCACCAAGATGCCTTTTAAATGTTGTCATTGTACCATCCTCCACCACTTCCTCTGGCAGCTCATTCCATACATGCACCATCCTCTGCATGAAAAAGTGGCCCCTTAGGTTCCTTTTAAAACTTTACCCTCTCATCTTAAACCTAGGCTGCTCAATCTACCCATATCCCTTATGACGTATCAACATATTATGATCAAATATATCCCCTATACAAAACTGTATTCATCTAGGACCCAGCATTATTTGGTCATTCAAAATAACATTATAACCACTGGTCACATAACCATAATTAGTCAATAAGATCTTTATGATCTTTATGGGAGGCACAGTGGCTCAACAGTGAGCACTGCTGCCTCTCCGTGCCAGGGACCCGGGGTTAATTTCACTCTCTGGCGACTGTCTGCATGCAGTTTGCACATTCTCCCCATGTCTGCATGGGTTTCCTCTGGTTGCTCTGGTTTCCTCCCATAGTCCAAAGATATGCAGGTTGGGTGGACTGGCCATACAAAACTGCCCAGTGTTCAGGGATGTACAGGCCAGGTGGATTAGCCATGGGAAATGGCAGGGTAACAGGGATAGGGTAGGAAGGTGGATCTGGGTGGGATGCTCTTCGGAAAGGTGGTGTGGATTCAATGGGCCGAATGGCCTGCTTTCGGACTGTAGGGGTTATATAATTCTATGACCTGCATGATTACCATTCTTTACTTGTATGGTGTATGCCATTGATAGAAGTGTTAAATCCCAGTGTACAGAATTTAGACTGGTATTACAGTCTATATGATATGGGATTCTGTATAATTCCCAGGTCACCACAAGTTACATTATCATAGTCTTGTACATCTGCTTAGAGTAGCTTGGCAAAACAACTGGAGACGCAATCTACTGCGTGGATGATCTGCAGGATCTTCCGTGCTCATGCAGATAAATTTTACAGATGTCCTGTGAGGCACACAGATTTAGTAAAGGAATACTATTACCTGTGATACACCCATCCAGGCTGTTTCTCTTTGTGTTCTTGAAAAAGGTAATTAGGTTTCAATATAAATAAAATATAAGAAGTAACACAAGGCAGAATTAAGTGAACGTGAGGGAAAGTTCGAGTGGAATGCCTGGCAGGGCAGGTCATGCTGGGATGCTCTTCAGAGGGTTGGTGCGGTCTCGATGGGCTAAATGGCCTGCTTCCACACCGTAGGGATTCTATTCTGATCTTAATAGGTGGGAAGTCACAAACCTTACTGGTGTCCTTGTGAATCACATGTCCAGGAACTGCTGCACAAACACAAAATTCAACTTTAGGTTTGACAGCCTGAGTGGCAGCTGGAGACATGGCACATCCAAAACACAGTTATGTGGACTGTACATTCAGAGAGGTGGTCAAGGGCCTGAAGGTCAGAAGAGAATGGGTGACAGTCAAGCAGTCCAAGAGAAACAAGTAGATAGTAGAGGAGTCACATGGGGTCCAACACGCTAATCTATTTTCCATTTTGGAAGCTGAAGGGCACTAGTTCCTCAAGGAAATGCAGTCAGAGTCACACTTGTGGCACCACATGCAGCTAAGCTATACTGGAGGGAAGGAAGAAGAAAGGAAGCCCAACAAAAATAGGTGATTCATTAGTTAGGGGAACAAATATGTTGGAAAGTGGCTACAGGACATACTTCTGGAAAGTGTGAAGTGCTAGAAGTTCAGATCCACTTTGGAACCAATAACTTGGGTCGGAAATGGAACACACAGTCCTGCAATCAGAGTTTAGGAAGCTACTTGGAATATTAGCAAACAAGATTACTTCTAATACTACATGCAGGTACAGGAGGAGGAGGAGGAGGACGACGACGACGACGACGAGACAGATGAGCGCACAGCTGTAAAGGTGATGGAGGATTGAGGGCTCTGGATTCCAGGGATACTGGGATTGGCTCTGGGTGGACAAGCCAGACAGGCATCTGAACAGAACTGCACCAGAGTTCCTTGCACGATATTTTCCTAGTTGGAGGATTTTCAACTAAATTGGTAGGAGTGTGGGATCCAAGAAAGATTTTGAGAGGGCAATACCAAAGTTCACGAAATACTTAAGAGACAGCTTACACTAGCATAGAGAATATTAAGTTAATAAGTTTAGTCAGAGTAAGGGTCAAAGTAATGGTTTAAAGCTTTACAGGGCACGAGGATCTGTTGACATGTATCCAAGGATACCAAAAGGAAGAGAGTGTGGAAATTGCAGGGGTATAGGCCATAATCTTTCAGTCTTCCCTGGACTTCGGGAAGTGCCAGAAAACTGGAGAACTGCAAACATCATGCCCTTGATCAAAAAAGATTGAGAGAATAAACCCAGTAAACACACAGCCCAGCATAACTTCAATGAGGGGGAAGCTTCTAGAAAGAATTATTTCAAATGGATCCAAGTGAATTAAAAAAAGCAGTCACATGGATAAAGGTCTCTTGACTAGGAAGAGCCAGCATGGATTGCTAAAGGGGAAATGGTAATGAACTAACTTGCTGGATTTGTTTTGGAGGTAACAGAAAGGACCGATGATGGAAATGCTATTGATTTAGTGTTTATGGACTTCCAGAAGACATCCAATACAGTGCCACACAGACATGAGAGAAAAGTTCTAGCTCATGGAATAAGGAGACAATAGTAACATGGATACAAAATTGACTGATTGATAGGAAAGAGAATAGAATGGTTAATGGATAGGTTTCAGGCTGGAGAAAGATTTGTAGTGGAACTTCCAAAGGATCGCGATCAAGACTCTCGCTTTTTCTGATTATTCATTAATGACGTAGTTATTGGTGTGCAGGACACAATTTCCAAGTTTGCAAATAATAGGCAATCTGGAAGCATTGTATATTGAGGAGGACAGTGTCAAACTTCTAAAAGACAAGTTGGTGGAGTGGGAGGAATAGGCAGCAGATTATGTTCAATGCAGAGACGTGTAATGTATTTTGATAGGAAGAACATGGACAGACAACACAAAATAAGAGGTGCAACTTTAATGGGGGTGCAGAAGTACACAGATCTTTGAAAATGGGAGGATAGGTGGAGAAAGGAGTTAATAAAGCATACACTAAATAGGATTTATTAATAGGGGCACAGAGCAAGGAGGTGATGTTGAACTTATAGAAGATATTTGTTAGACTTCAGCTAGATTGTGTACAGTTGTGTGCGCCACATTATGGGAAATGTGTTAATGCTCTGGACAGTGTGCAGAAGTAATTTACAAGGATGGTTTGAGATGAGAAATTTCTATTATGAGGATAGATTAGAGATGTTGGGTCTGTTCATCTTGGAGAAAGACAGCTAAGAGGTTCTCAAAACCATGAGAGGTCTGGATAGAGTAGATCCGGAGAAACAGTTCCCACTCCCAAAATGATTAAGAATGGGGACACAGATTTAAATTGATTTGTAAATATAGCAAATGTGATGGGAGATAAAGAAAACTTTCACACAAGGAGTGATTTTGGTCTGGAATGTACTGCCTGGAAGTATGATAGAACAAGGTTCCATTAAGACATTCCAGAGGATGGCAGATGATTACTTAGATAGGAACAATCTGTAAAGGTACAGGGAAAAGGCATGAAATGGCACCAAATTATAACACTCATTTGAAGACCTGGAGCAGGCACGATGGGCCGAATGGCCTCCTTCCGCACCATTCCCTTTTTGTGATACAGTGTGCACTAGCCTGCATGCTACCCTTCTCCCAGTTTGACCTGCAAATCAATGGAGTTACCGGAGTACGCTGCTGCTGTACATAACCTTCTAGACTGAACCACAGGTGAGAGCTACGTGACGTCTAGGCCCGAAACGTCAGCTTTCCTGCTCCTCTGATGCTGCTTGGCCTGTTTTGTTCATCCAGCTCTACACCTTGGTATCTCTGAATATAGAGGAGGTTCAGTGACCCATCTACCTACGAGGGAAGGACTTCGCAGAAGGGTCTTCTACTAGCACACCATTTTTTCTGTATCAACTATGGAAATCCTGCCTTTGACTGGTGTACATATTCTTTTACCTCATACAGAATTATCCCATTAGTTTTAAAATAACCATAGATAATAGAATGCTTCTGCACTATAACATCAGGAATGAGAAGTGCACGACTTAGCCTTTTGAGTCTGTTCCCCTTTTCAAGAAGATCTTCCACGTCTTGTTTGAGCACCCACAGCTCTCCATGTTTGAAAATAGCAAAATTTTGAATTGAATAATTTCTCATCTCAAGAACTCCCAATCCTTTGTATTGATACTGTGACCCAGTTCCAGATTTCCCAATTGGGAGGAAAAATGATCTTTCATGAAAGCTTTTGGAATGGTATATTTCAATTAGATCACTTCTCATTCTTCTAAAAACATTCTCGGGACCGGCTACATGAATCTTCATCACATTAAGGCAAATATTAGAAAACATGGGCAAGATGTAATAAGTTTGGCCTGGATACTGGATTGGGTGGTCCATCTAATGGGCTCACGTAACTTATAACAGCAAGGAACTGAGGCAGGAAATTGGTGAGCAGAAACAGGAGAGTGAGAAAACCTGCCAGTGGTACGCTGGCAGACCCACTAGATTTGTAGACTGGTTCTGGGACATTATGAGACACAGTTGGATGAGGTTGTGGGTTGTCAACATCCCATTAGTCACTACCAGAACAGATAACGCCCAGGACTGTGACAATAATGAGGATGTGCAGTTTGAACTAAGGAGCACTGCTGACACTCCAAGAAGAAAGGAATGCATGTCAGAAGGTGGGGCTGAAAGTGGCCACTCCAGGTTACAAAGCACAGAGAGCACGCATGACTTCAGCCAACAGAATTCCAGCAAAATATT